TAACAATTTTATATATATATATATATATATATATATATATATATAAAATTGTTAAACAATCAACCCGATGGACTCTTTCAGATAAAATATAGATCCTGATAACAACAAAGAGTACCAATTTTTACTAAAGATTGCCGATAAAAATTGTTAAGGCAAACATAACAATGACTGCAATTCTCCAACATTTATTTCTCCGAAAACTATAAAAAAGATTGAAAAATCGACTCGACAAATCCCTCGGGGTAAAAAAAAGATTCCGTAAATAAAAAGAATGCCAATTCTTAATAATGGACGCCAATAAAAATTTGCGTCTCCGCAAATATTAAAAGAGTTGAAGGATCAACTCGATAGATCCACGATAAAATAAAGATCCCATTAATAAAAAAGAATATCAATTTTTCCGAGAGAATGTTAATAAAAATTGTTAAAGAAAGCACAGGGAGCGGCGCCATTTTCTAACGTTGGTTTCTCCGCAGATTATAAAAGGGTTGAAGGATCGATAGATCCCGGGAGATAAAATGGAGATCCGGTTGATACGCTGTCGCAGTTTTTAGTCCCGGAGAGTTTTAGATAATCGCGTGTCCCGTGAACGCAAACACGGTGATCGACGAGATTGCACGGGTCCCCAGTGGGCCACCCTTGAACCGGTCCCCCGAGCGTCCCGTAAAGATCGTGTAACTCTCGGGGCCGGGAAAAATGATATCGGCGAGGGGCAAATTACATTAGCACGCGAAACAAAATGCGTCCGGCAGTAGGCACTGTGTCGTACAAGCTGGGTATCAACGGGGAAACGTGTTTACATCTCGTCGTGCTCGCTGCGGCCAGCAGATCTTTACGATGGGAGGCCATAAAGCCAGTGCCGTAGCCACGTATTTACACGAGCCCGACGGGGCACGATGTCCGACGATGATCGAACGGAAGTCAAGGTAACAAGAAAACGTGCAACAGCCGCCGCCGGTCTCGAGAGATCGAGACCCGTTCCTCTCTTTCTCTTTCTCCCTATTTCTCCTACTCGTCCCCGCTCTGGCTCTTTCTCTTTCTGTCTTTACCTTTCTCCCTTCTCTCCTTCTCACCATCTCTCTTTCTCTCTCCTCCTCAATTTTTCTCCCCTTCCCTTTGCGTCCCTTTTTCTCTTCATTCATCTCTCAATTTCTATTTCTGCATATTTTCCTACTTCTCACTCACGTCATTCCTCTCTTCTTGTTTTCCTCATCCTTCTTCTCTTGTGTTTCTCTTTCTCTTTCACCTTTCATCTCTTTCTTAGTGTCATTTTGTGATCATCCGAATCAAAAGTGAGCCATCGACGTGAATATTGCGACCCTGTATATGAGTTGGTAAATAAATAAAATTTATCGAAATTCAAAATGCTGTAACTTTGTCGAGAAAAATTGTACAATAACATTCTTGAGCTCATTTTCAAGCGTGAAGTCTCCGTTTTTTAGACGTTTCATTTTTTCTAGAATAGTGTCACTGTGCCGTTAGCTGCCATTAGTTTCATAACAATGTTCGTTATTGACAAATTTTCAAATTTGCAGACCTCAGCAAACCGTAAAAAAATTTGTCTGCGCAAGAGACCATAGTGATTTTAAAGAATGTAGTCTCCTCTTTCCAACGAGTCTAAAAACTTTGTCTTACGACTTTCTGGTGCCATTTTATGATCATTCGGATCGAAAGTGTGTCAACAACATGAAAAATGGGAACCTTAAATGCGAATTAGAAGTTCATCAAAATTTATCGAAATTCAAAGTGCTGTAACTTTGTCGAGAAAAATCGTCTAACTACATTTTTGGGCTCATTTTTAAGCGTGAAGCCTCCGTTTGTAAGTCGTTTTAGTTTTTCTAGAATAGAGTCACTGTGCCGTTAGCTACCATTAATTTTCTAACAACGTTCGTCATCGTCAAATCTTCAAATTTACAGACCTCTGAAAATCGCAAAAAATTTGTTCTGCACAAGAGACCATAGTGATTTTAAAGAATGTAGTCTCCCCTTTCCAACGAGTCCAAAAACGTTGCCTTACGACTTTCTAGTCCCATTTTACGGTCATTCGAATCGAAAGTGTACCATCAACATGGAAAATAGGAACCCTAAAAGTTAATTAAAATTTATCGAAATTCAAAGTGCTGTAACTTCGTTAAAAAATATCGTAGAGCAATATTTCTTAGCTCATTTTGAAAGGTAAGATCTCTTCTTACTCTATCTCTCCCTTTTCCGCTCTTTCCGTTCCTCTCTCCTTCTCTGCTTATTTAAAATTCGTCGGTCACTCGCTTGCGTAAGCGCTGCTGCCCATCACGGCGGCATTAACAGCGGAGAACAAATCAATGAGACATAATGAACTGTAAAGGGGGACACCGTCGAACAAAAAAGGAACGAGCCTACTTAGACGGAGGAGCATTAGCGGCAATTGATTGATCGAGCCTCTTCCCAATCATGATCTACATGCGCCGGTGTGTCACAATTATTTCTGTTCGGTATCGATCAATCTGTAATCTGGATAA